CATTGATGACTGTTTCTTTAATCAATCACCCGATTTGGAAGGCTGATTTTCCAGTTGCTGTTTTTAGAAGGCACGAGTTGTAATTGACTCTACTCTACTTTCAATTTTTTCTTTCTATCAAGCTCGTGTCTGCCTTAATTTGAAAACCATACTTCTGGTTTGAAATATTTGTTTCCCTGAGCATTTTCTTTTAATGTTTCCTTATTAGGCACTTTCCGAGTTAATTACCACTATTTCTACAAATTTTTCCCAATACGAAAAAAGGGGATAGAAAGTAAATACTAAACGGAAATGGTGTAAAATATTTTTCATATAAAGACCTAAAATATTTTCGTTTGGATTTAATCTAGAGACGGATATCAATTTCGGAAACTAATTTCGCTCTCCTAGGGAAATGAGGGAAATCATCTCTTGGGAGTTGGCTTGTGGTGCCTTGTGGTGCCTTGTGGATTAATGCGCATGTCAATGGGACTTGTCTGACGAAATGAAGTTTCAGAATTGCATGTACAATGCAGATGCGCGTGTGAGCAAATGGCCGTCTCTCCTCGTTGGATGGAAGGTATTAGATTGGCTCATACGATATATAGAGAGGATTGGTATCTGGAATACCTCCGTTTGCACTTCCGGACGATCTGGTAACCGTTGAAGGTACTACTGTACATATACGACGACGTAATTACGCGCGTTCTGCCAATATTGGTTAACCTTTCGAGGTTGACGCCACCATATGCAAAGCCCCTAATGAGTAGCTCAAGTACCTTCGCTCTACTAGAGCCCTCCATTCTGCTACTCCATATCGCCATATTACTTCTATACCGGTTACCCTGCTGCTAGCATTTAAATATAGCAATTTTAATTACAGCCTAGAGGAAATTATATACTAAATGCAGTGCATAGTTCCAACAGTGTCCATAATATTTCTTGCCCATTACTGGATTTAGAAAATTGTTTGATTTAAATTCATGGACCATGATTTTAAATCTTTTGGGTCCATTTTCAATATGCTAAAAATAAAACAGTTTTTCTAAGGATATCAAAATTGAGAGCAAAAATGAATCAAAAGTATTGCGATGCAACACTTTTGCTCTCAATTTTGATATCCTTTGAAAAACTGTGAAGGTTTGTGTTGATTTGAAAAAAAGAACAATATTTAAATACGAGAGACAATCTTCATTAAAGTAAAGTTGAAAGCCAATATTTTCCTGACGGTATTAGCTCTAAAAATTCTCTGGCAATGAGGAAAGAAGTTGTGTATTTGTATTCCCCTAAACGAGACTTTCTGGGGAGTAATCGGTAGGTTCATTATGGTTTTTTTCAGGAGCAAATAATCCCTCGTGGTGCAACACAATGGCGGCAATCGATTCAACGTTCCGAGGCCTCAGGCGTTTTTCGCTTTTTTCTTTTTACCCTCTTTTCCCTCTCCCTCTCTCTCTCTCTTTCTCTGGGCACTTTCGTGCAACAGCCACGCGGTTTTATTGGAAAAGGAGCGACGAGATCCATGGAGGCCGCCTTTCCCTTGTCTGAAGGGAGTTTAATAGAGGGTGAAACCATCTCCACCCCGTCCGCAACACCACTACCCTTCCCATAACCACCACCTTACTTCATCGTTCGTTTCTTTTTGAAAAGCTTCTACCGCAACCCACTACCTAACCTTCTTCTTTCTTTCTTTCTTCTTCTTCTATTTTTTCCCTCTTCTCTCTCTCTCTCTCTCTCTCTTACTCTCTCTTTTCTCTGTTATCGGAAATCTCGACTACTGGACTTTGGCTCCTTGCACCACTGGAAACAAAATTTCAACCTTTTCTATTTTAGAGATTAGAGTCAGGGTCTTATATGTATACAAACTGATGTTTATCTTGTTGTGAATATCTTTTTTCTGTCTTTAAAAATAAACGACTGGTTCTTTTCATTCAAGTTTTCTTCCCTCTTTTGGTATGGTCATAAACAATCGGAAAGGGATAGATGTTTTTGTGATTACTAAATATTTTTACTTTCAAATTTGATGAACCCATCGATATAAAGTAATTCTGGGTAAATTACTGAATTCGATACCTATAATTTACTAACTCGAATTAGTAAAAGTTTACTTTTATTTTTAGAAGTCAAAAATTTATTTAATCTACTTTTACACTGACCCTCCAGTGACATTATCGAATCCAGTGTTTGTTTTTAAAATTTTAAATGACGGATCCAATATGGCAGCTTTTTTTAAAATCCAACAGTCTCACTTTTGCAGGTTTCGAACTCGATAATTAATTTTAAAGAAGTAGCAAAAAAGTAGCTAAAATTAAATTTAAATTTGACGACTTAATTTTTACATAATTTCTAAATTAAATTACACTGAAATTATTGTTCAAATACCATTTAATTAACTCCAATAATAATTATTTGATTCAAATAAATATTTAATTGATAATAGTCCATCAATTTGAACCATTTTTTTGTTGAAATTTTATAACAAAATTATTCGAAACTTTAATAATTTTATTTCAAAACTAAAATTTAAATATTATTACAGTTTTACAACAATCAACATTTTCAAAAATTTCAATTAAAAAATCTGTTAAAATTTAAATAAATACTTATTAGAAAGTTAGTCAAGAATTCAATTACTTATATGCACAAATAAATAATTTATTGAATAATTGAATTTTAATAACATTTGAAGAATAATTGCATTTTTCGAACAATTCATTAAAAATTATATTTAAATTAAACTAAATTGATTAAATAATTGAATAGTAGATATTGCAACTAATTAAATTTCGACAAATTTTTGAAATTAATTAAAATGCGAAAAATTCTATTAAAATTTTTTTGAAAATAATTAAATTCTTACGATGAATTTCATTCAAATTTTTGAAAATAATTAAATTCTTTCAAGAAATTTAATTAAAAAGGCATTGAAAATAATTATAATATTCTAATAAACAAATAATATTAAAATTTTTTTAAATAATTGAATTCTTTGAAGAATTTTAATTTATATTAAAAATATTTGAAATCCTGCAAAAAGTTTTATTATTTATAAATAGAATTTAATTTTTGCAACAAATTTTATTCAAATTTCTGAAAATAATTGAATTTCTGCGAAAAATTTATTATTCATAAAAGTGTTTGAATTTTTCCGAAGAATTTTATAATTTATAAAAATAATTGAATTCTTAAGACGAATTTTATTCAAAACTTTTTAAAAAATTTAAATTAATTCAATTTATACGAAGAATTTTATTAAAAATTTTTGAAAATAATTAAATTATTACGAAGAATTTCATTAAAATTTTTCAAGAAATTTAATTAAAAATGAATTGAAAATAATTATAATATTTTAATAAACAAATAATATCGAAATTTTTTAAAATAATTGAATTCCTGAGAGAAGTATTTTTATATTTGTAAAAATAATTGTATTCTCTCGAAGAAGTTTATAAAAATCTTTTTAAAAAATAATTTATTATTTTCGAAGAATTTGATAAAATCTGTGTTTTAAATAATTTAATTCCTGTAAAAATTTTATTATATTTAGGAAAATAATTGAATGTTTCCAAAGAATTTTGTAAATATTTTTTTTAATAAATATAAATTCTTTTATGAAAATAGTTGTAAAAATTTTATTAAAATCTTTGAGAATTGTTTTTTATTCCAACTATAAAGTAGTGCAAATTCTCAAAAATGGAAAAAAGTAATATTTGACTTGGAGGATTGACAATTTTCTTGATATTTTATTTAGAAAAAAGGGGCTTTTTATGTGACAAATTCTAATGTCCGCCATATTGGATCCGCCATTTTGAAAAACTAACTTAGGATTCGTAATCACCGAACCAAATCAGTAAAATTTTACATACTGTCAATAAAAAATTTGATTAATATGAATTGGGTATAATTTATTCACTGTAAGAAGAAAGATACTAATTTAGTACCAATTTTGGTACTAAATCGTAATTTAGTTCTATTTTAATACCGAAATCAGCTCTAATTTAGAACCATTTTTTTATAGTGTACTTAGGTATAATTTCTTTCCAATAAATGTTGGTTTAATTCCCAAATTTCCCATCAAAACCTTGAAGTACTTTTACCCCATTAATTTCCCACTGCCTCTAATAGGAAAAAAATAGAATAATATCAAAATCTGTTTTGTCAGACATGAGTATACTTTGAATGGAGTAAAGTATCTGGAAAATAGACTACCACACAACTGGGGAGAAATATTGCAATGGGTTGGAAATGTAGGATGGATTGTCGACTAGTATATATTATGGTAGGTACCTCACAGTGAAAGAGAGAGAGAGAGAGAGTAGTCTATGGGTGAAAGAGTGCAGAGAATGAGGTGGGGGTGGGGGGGAATCGATCGAATCGCCATTACAGAGAGCAAGAGAGAGATAGAGATAGAGATAGAGAGAGTGAGTGAGTAGTGCAGAGGACTCGATGGAATCACGCTGCCGCGTCGTTGGGGCTTTATTCTCCGTATATATTTGCCGGCGTATCACCCTCGCCCCTTTGCAGAATGTCGTCCTTGTTGGGGGGTGGGGATAAACAAAAGGGAGAGAGTGAGATTTGAGAGAAAACAAGAAAAGAGAGAAAGCAACAAAGTTTAGGCAATAGGGGCGTGCAACTTGCCTTTAACGCAATTCACGCATCGATGAGTTCCATCCAGATTTTCCAAAAGCCCTGGGGGATTCAAGGATCCTTCAACCAGATTTAGATGTCTTGAGAAATGTATCGTTTTCAAAAAGAGATTCAGCCACTTACTCACTGCCTTTTGTTTATTTTGCATTTATTCACTTTTTTCCGCTTGTTTTCTTTCTACGAGTCAAATTCTCCCAATTTTATTATTATCAGTCGTTACGATTTTTCATTTTAATAAATTATAATTAGCTTGTACCATACTCGTACTTGTATATAATAATAACAAAAATAAATCTTGCACTTAGTGTACAAGATGATATTTGCAGAAACTTGAATGCTCTTTCTAATTAGGAATTTTATTTCCCTTTTTGTTTTAGTTATGGTGCTAGTTATGACATGGCAGCGAGGAGAAAAAATGCCACGAGGGAATCAACAGCAACTTTAAAAGCTTGGCTAAATGAGCACAAGAAAAATCCTTATCCAACGAAGGGGGAAAAAATAATGTTAGCTATAATTACAAAAATGACACTGACCCAGGTGTCGACATGGTTTGCAAATGCCAGGCGACGTTTAAAGAAGGAGAATAAAATGACCTGGGAACCAAAAAATAAAACGGACGACGATGACGATGCGGTTTTATCAGATTCGGAGGATGTTAAGGAAATGAAGGAAGAAATGGGAGATAGTCGGAGTGACAGAGTGGGAGACGATGTCAGAAGAGGTCTCGATGACAACGGTAGGCAACAATTTTTCTTTCTTTTCATACTATTTTTCTTTTTAAAACTATTTTCAATATTTTCACAGTTGGGGCATTTGGTAATAACAAAACACTTAAAATGTTTCTTGTGCTCGTCTTTTCTATTCTAATTCAGATGTAAAATTTTGATCTTGAATAAAAATAGGTTTAAAAATGGTACATTTTGCAACTAGAATGGAAAAAAGGGGTTTTCCGAAGAATTTGTAAGTTACTACTCTCGCTTCGCTCAAGCAGCCACTTACAAACTCATTGGAAAATATCTTTTTGGGATACGGAGCATATGGTGCTTTTTGCAAACTTGCAAAAACTTCATTTTTAAACTATTTTAATAAATAAATGTAATGTTATGTTGATTATATTGTTTAATCAAAAATGTTCGGAAAACTACACTTTTCTGCATTCTATGCAGCAAAGTGTTAAAAAGCGGTCAGGAAAGTGAAAGAAATTTTCAGCATAGCATTCAAAAAAGTGGTGACAATAGTTCAGAAAAATAAACTTTTCTAAATAGTTTGCAATAAAAGTTCCGAAAAGTAGACTTGTAGTGTTCCGAAAAGTAGACTTTTCTGTATAGTATGCAGTAAAGTAATAAAGCGGACAGAAAAGTACCAAATTTTGATTCTAATCTGAAAAAACCCAGACAAAAAAATAATTATTTAACAAATGATAAATTGTTAGTTCTCCATTAACAATCTGATTATCCATGTAACAATCAAATGAAAATTTTTAATTTTCTTTCTTTGGTAAAATTATTATTATTGTAAAATTTAAGACAAATAGACTGACGGATGAGTATAACAGTAGAAAGTCGTTTGTCATTCGTTTAATAGCCAGTCAAATTCAAATCAAAGCATAATTAGATTTCACCAAAGCGATAACTCAATCGGAAAACCGTCACTGCTCTTGCTCGCTAATTTGCTTACGAAATAGACTGCACATTAAACTAGTCACGTTTGCTTGTGAATTGCATTGCTGACTGATCAATTGAACAAGTCCAATTCTCCAGTCGATCACTGTATGACATTGATTTTAATAAAAGTTACAAACATGTTAAATATACTTTTCTTGTACCGTATTCACAAGGGGAAAATTACTGATAAGTTTTAAGTTTAAGTTTGTAAATTAAGATTCAAATGGAAATTTTAATCGCACCTGAATGCAAATTTGTAGTTGAATCAGATGATCTTTTGGTTAAGGGAATTAATTTAATAAGAATTTGAGTTAATTCAAACTGAATTTTAGTTATTTTTAGCAGAAGTCTGATTCATTTAACCATAGTGGTATATTATACAGAGGTCTAGTAAATTTAACCAGATGTCTAGTTAATTTAATCATTAGTGACAAATTATCCAGAGGGTCTAGTAAATTTAACGAGAAATCTAGTTAATTTAACCAACAGACAGAAATTAACTAGAAGTCTAGAAACTAGAGTTTCAATTTAACCACAGTTTTAAATAATTTAACCAGAATTCTAAGTTAATTTAACTTGATTTTTATTTAATTTAGCAAAAAGTCAGAAATTAACTCAAAATCTAGTAAATTTAACCAAAATTTTAATTATTTTAACCTGAACTCTAGTTAACATAACAAAACGTCAGAAATAAATTAAAAGTCTAGGAAATTTAACCAGAGGTCCGAAATTATCCAGAAGTCTAGTAAATTTAATTAGAAGTCCAGTTAATTTAACCAGAATTCTGGTTAGCCTAATATGAACGTATTTATTTGGTTGCTTCAACCGAATTTTTCCCTAAGTCCACAATATATATCTGACATACTTAATATAAAAAAGATGTTTCATAGATTGAATTTATTTTAATTCGAATATATACCTGCGGTTATTTGATAAATCGGAGGAAAGACACTTGGGGGTCGATAGTCCGGAAATTGCGAATATGCAAGATTTGGAATCGAATCTCTTTCTCTCTCTCTCTCTCTCTCTCTCTATACGGATATTCATCCGTGGAGTCTATATCGCGGGGGCGGACATAATGGTTCACATGTGGGTAAACACAGTGACGGGTTGCGGGTTGCCGCGCGAGGAGATTAATGGCCTTCGGTTTGGTCCCCTGGTGGACTTGGACGACGACGTCGACGATGTAGTTGATGGTATTGGTTGGAATATAGCATCGTTCCAGAGTGGTGGTGTTGAGGGTGCGGTCGAGTTTGAGTAGCCATCCGTAGGACCAATATACACTCTGTCCATGGCTCTATATACTGCCAGATTTACTATATATATACATATATGTATATATGTGGGAGAATGTCGTGGTAGATGTGTATAGATACAGTGCTCTGGCACTGGGTGATGTATCGGCGCCCGCGGCGAGACGAATGGTATAGACCCTTCTATAGCTGCATTATACCCCACCACACATTGGCCAATATCGGTTCGTTCCTGGCACCTGGTTTTCATACAAATCAACTATTTTCTAGACCCACAAGGATGTCTTCATTATAGAGTAGCTTTTTTTAACTTTTGTAATTTTCGACATGAAGAAATGGGGCAAAATTTTAGTGCAAATAAAAGAAATAGAAGATAAAGGATGGAGTTAAAAGCAGGACCAGGAAAAGAGAAAGATTAAGAGATAAAAAAAAGGGAAGGGATAGAACAAAAGGTTTGTAATAGTAGACGTTACGTCATACGTTTTCGACTCCACTTTGTACATTAAGACTTGACGAATTAGGTTTGTAAACTGATTGTAAGCGGAGGAGTAGAGAAGGTATTGACTAGAAGTAGATCATGCGATTAGCGTCTGATAAAAGAGGGTCAAAAGTTAAAGAGCCACTTGTGGACTTGGCAGTAGTATCAGTTTAGTTGGTCCATAAGGCTCTCTTTATAAGGGGTATTGCGCGCGCCCTTCACCTAAACTTTTACCACTTCTGTTCTTGTTTCTCCTCTCAACTCTCGGTATATATCTCGCAGTCTGTTGGTCGCCCTTTCTAGCTTGGGAATTATCGCTTGACGACCCATCAAGTAAACCCTCTGCCGACTCATTCGAACCTCTTAATGAAATTCTCACCCCTGACTGACTGGCTGGCAGGCAGACGGCCCGAGCAGTCCTAGAGTGCCCCGAGAGGGATCGAAATAAAGAAGGATCCACAAAGTGAGAGAGAGAGAGAGTGGGAGAGAGAGCCACTCGAGGGTTGCTGAAATCTCTCGCGCCCCAAAGTGGTTGCAGACTTCGCCCCTTTTTTCACAGCATCCCTTGTAGCTTAACTATATAAGGGTGTGAAAGGAGACACTCGCTATATAAAACTTTCCTTCTCAATGTCTATATAACCCCATAATGACACGCATCCTGGGTCTCACTTTCACACCAGAAAATGTAGCCCATTAACGTCAATATCCCAGAGGGAGTGGAAATTACCTTCTTGAAGAATTAATCATAATGAACAGTTAAACTTTTTTTACAACACACGACAGTGTTCTTATTTCAAAATGACAGGCTAGTCCGACCATCAATCGGATCAGAATTCAAACAAAAAAAAGTTTTTAGGTCCCGTAACTGCTGAAAATTATCAACTGAGTTTAAAAGACAAAATTTATCATCAAGCGATGACCATCTATTTGGGACATTAATATTTAGTTGACTCATCATGTTTGTTCGCAGAACCAATGAGGCATGTGAAAGCGGAGCACATGAAGATCGATAAAGATCTCGACGATGATGACGATTTGGACCTGGAGGATGATCCCCGAAGGAGTGAGCACTCATTTCATCATGCGATGCATCACCACCATCACCAAGGCTACAGTAGTGACGATCATCTCAAAGAAGAAGGAATTAAGAGCGAGTGTGGTGCAGGTGGTATTCCTATTCCAGCCACGAAACCTAAGATTTGGTCCCTAGCTGACACGGCAGCTTGTAAAACACCTCCTCCAACTTCCCATCCACATCACCAACAGCAGTATCACTTACACCATCAGCAGCAGCATTACGCTCAGCAGCAACATCATTTATCCAACCAATCTCATCATCATTCTCAACAACCTTGGCTCGGCTCGAGTGGAGTGGGAGGCGCTCCAGGTGGAGGTGGTCTAACATCCTTTGCACTTCCCTCATCGGCAACAATGAGTCCATCGTCCGCTGCCACTGCACCTTATTCGGGCGCAACGGCGCGATACGGTGGTTTCCTGTCGTCTTCCTCCGGTGGACAACTTCACTACAATCCCAATTCCTCTTCCGGTTCAACGTCCAGTGCTTCGTCCTCAGCAGCGGCGGGGTTTCCCGAAGTTGGTACAGATACCCCACCCCAAACACCTCCCAACATGAAGGTGGGTACCCCGAATGGAGTGATCCAGGGCCCTCCAACAGGGTACTGCCCTGGTGGCAACAACAACAATAACAACAACACCAGTAATGGCAATCTCAATCATTATACTTCTAATCATAATGGAGGTTATCTGTCCACAAGTTCGGGATCGTCCAGCAGTGTTTCGTCCTTTAGTTCTCGTCTTCAAAACTCGCCGCACAAAGAATTCTCGCCCACATCGCAGAATTCGATACTCCACCAACATCAGACCACGGCCAGTCTCCCACCCACGGAAGCCACCACGGCCTTCAAACCTTTCTACAAAGGGTGAGCTTTGTTAACAAATATTCTTTTTTACTTTAGACATTTTTTATTGCTATCTAACTTTTTACTCGCAGTAGAATAAAAAATGATTAACAACAATTAACCAAAGATAAAAAGACGATTAACCATGATTAACTGCAAAGGTAGGATAAACAAGGGTTCCTACCTTTGCGGTTAATCATGTTTAATCGTGGTTCTACTGTACTAGAAAATATAATTTCGAATTTTAAAAACCGAACCAGTAAAATGTCCATCCGCAAAATTTATTTATGGCTTCTTTCGTATATGTTTTAGGTCACAAACCATGGGAAGTGGATTTGTGTCACCAGTTTAAGGATATGAACGAGCACCGACACAAGATGAACGCATCCGCCAAGGTTTGTTGAATTTCTTACCTCTGTTTTTATTGCATGCTCATCTCTATTGCCCCAAATAAAATTTACAAGTGTTCTCCGAGAATACTTTTATAACTGACCTTAAAACCCCTGCGCCTATAGAACGAGTGTAGGAATTAGTTTGGAATTAGGAGTATTCGGATTTGTCTGAAACTATTTGGATTTTTATCGACAGAGAAGAGGGCTATCTTGAAGATAAGTTGATATTAGAAAAACGTAAAACTTTTTGTAGTTATTAAAGAGCCCGCGAGTGAGAAAACTTAAGTCAAAAATAACAGTAGTTGACAATAGATATCGTCAGTTAAGTTTCTCAAAAGTTGAAATTTGGGTGCACTGGCACCTTCGGAGTCTTTAGTTGCGAAGCTAATGAAACCTATTGTAGTTATTAAAGAGTGCGCAAGTGAGAAAACTTTTAAAGCGAAAGTTAACAGTAGTTCTCATCAGATAACGTCAGAAGTTTCCTAAAGTTGAAATTCGGTTGCACTGCCACCTTCAGAGTCTTTAAGGTAATGAAACTTTGTGTTTAATAGTCGACATTGTTCAATGTCAGTAATATTAGTGAATCTAGTGTTTCTCCAAATGCAAATAAGTAACCAATGAATAACATTAGTTAATCTAGTTATTTTGGGAATGTTGTATCGGTCTGGTATTAACAGGGACTGAGCAAACAGATATCTATCAGCGGTTGAAGCACATTAACACGAGAAATGCGCGCGGATAGCAAGTACAATAATTTATTTCGCCATTGAGTTAAAATAAAATGAATAGACATAAGAGACAAGGCACGAAGGTAGGTCGTTTCAAGCAACGGTACAGTCTTATCCGATCACGATCAGTCACGGTCCACGATTGACTGCCCTGGACCAGAGCTCAACTCGCCTCCAAAGTCGAACGGACACCTTAAGACAATCGATAAGGAATTAATATCCGGCCGAGTTGATTGGTCGTTAGTCCCTGGGCCTGCGTCGAAATAATAATGGCATTGGGTATTGAGTAGCGTGTGGGCAGTCTGCGGGCAGAGAGAGGCTATCGCCACCTTCTTGACAGTAACAAATGGACGGAGATTTCAATCAGTGAATGGAATCACCACTGGTTCGCCTCGTCTCTCTCTCTCTCCTTCTCTCTTACATTTTTTCTCTCTCTCTTCCTCCTTTACTCTTTCTCTCCTCCTCCCTTTTTCTCTCACTCTCTCCACCTCGATCCTCTTCCCAACCAGAGTGAGTGCAAGAGAGAAGGAAATTAGATGCCTCCATTCTCCTTCTCTCTTGCACACACTCTCATCCAACTATTCCACTCGAACACACCTCAAGCTGTCGCGTTAGTGACCGACCAAGTCACTCGATTCGTGTTGGCCACTATCTTCTCACGAAATAAAAAGTCAGGCCTAAGCTTATATATGCAAATAAAAACGATGAAGAAATAGACACATTCGAGTAGCTTCATGCTAATGCAAACAAATCAATTTCTTTTTTTTTTTTAATCTCAAAGGAAAGAATAAACTTTAAGTAAAGGAAATTGATTCCATCTTCTTTTGAATTAGAAAATTTTTACAAGAGAAATTTTATCCCTCACAAATTTTTTTTCTTTTTCACCGACACGTGCTTAAAATTCGTTTCTGATTTAAAAAAAAGAGTGATTTTCCAGAGGATCTTATATACTCGGGAGAATTGGTAAAGAAGATGGTGGTATGAGAACCAGTTATCAGTGTCGGTTAGGCGATCGTTAAAGTGCCTTGGGAAACCAAAGACTTCATCCCGCAGTCACACCAAAAAGCATGAGAGGATGAGGGGGTGGGGGCTTTCCGAAACGACTACCCTCGTTTCCTTACAAACGATTCCCTGGATTCATCTTCAGGGTTTACTCTCGATATCCCCTTGGCTCCTCAAAAGCCTCAAGTCTCCGTAAAACTTGGACCCTGACTTTTCCAAAGGTTTCTTCGCAACAGTCTTAAACATCCCTTCTCAATTAGTTTACTTTTAAATTAAATCCCAATTAGTTTTACCCCAGTTCTGAACATAAAACAGCGAAAATCAGAAATTATCCATTTAGTTCGTGTGAAAAAGCTAATACTTCAGTTTATTAATACATCAAGTTTATTTTAATTACACATTTCTTATAAAGAACTAAGATGGTCTAAAAATGTGCGGCCAAAATAAGTAAATAAGTAAAATAAATAGTAAAGAAAATAAAGTAAATAGTAACAGAAATATTTAGTAAATAGTAGGTATTCTATTACTTTTCTATAAGAAGAAAAAAAATCCTAATTTACTTATAAATTTTTGTCCATTTGGCTCTCAATGACAACCCACAGGTGGGTCTCCCACATTCACCGGATCAAACTCCGAATCCAATTATTCGAAATTGAATTTAAATTTGATTTTACAAAGTAAATAATTGTGCGCAAAAGAAGATTCGAAATTGTTTCAAGATTCGAATGAAAGATATAATACTTGTGAATAGATTTAGTGCGTGATCTGTGATTCCAAATTATTCCAGGTGGACGCCTTTGTCGGCCTTAACCCGATACTCCTCAAGTTTTCGAAATGTAGAAAGAAGGACAAGGCAGTATAGCATTTTCTAGCGTGAATGTAAAGTGTTTGAAAGAGGGAAGGTGAAGGAGTTTAAAAAAAAGAGGAGGAAAAGGGGGGAATAAAGGGAGAATAAAAAGCAAAAAAAAAAGAACAAGTAACGTCAGTTTCCAGGTCTTGGAGACGTCTTTCGAGTCCCGGGTGTTACCGGGACCACCTTATCTGGTGGCGATCTGATCCTAATTTATAGCCAGGTCTCAAATAAACTAGTTTTCGCTGTCGTCACCTTGCCTCGCTTTCGGTCTTCGTCTCGTCTCTCATTCTATCCGACGAGAGAGAGAGAAAGAGAGAGAGGCTGCTGGCTGTTGGTTGTCGTGGTTTTCGCCTCGTGTCCCTCATAGTCCAAGGCTTATAAACTCCAAAACTTTAGATGCACCAACGACTCCAACCTGTCTCTCCCGCAGCCACTAACTCGTTGATTTCTTGGTCCCGCAGGTAACCACTAATACAATCATGGGACACACACTCACACATGTGAGAACCAATGAAAGAAACTCTCAGTGGCTACCTGGTAGACTAAAAAAGTAAACCTCAACGCCCATCGTAATTGCCAATTAGCTCGCTGGATATTTAATTGCCATTAGAGTGGGTGGAGTGTTTGGATCTTGGTGGTCGTTCATGATACCTTATCCTCCGTCACTTTCCTCTGCCTGTGCTCGCACCTCCTAATGGGATATTTACAGAACGCCCTTTTCGAATTGAATTAACCTTTCATCCGTTTAGTTCTCCAACTCCAAATTGTCTCATCCGAGACAATTTGGTCCGAATTTCCATTCATGTCTATTCGACCGAATCAAAAAATCCGTACCGAAAAGTCCAAAAGGTAATCTTTTCCGAATGGCACAACATCTATAGGCACAATATTCTGCCTCAATTGCATAAAAATGCTTCTGATAATGTTGCTCTTCAATAATCGAAATATTCTGTATAAAGCTAAAACTATCACTCAGGTGCAAAAAAAATTGGCACAGATCAGGGAATTCAGGGATTTTTAATAAAATGAACTGGAGAAAATTAAATTTTTAGAATTCATAAGAAAATTCTGAATTTTAAGTGTATTTTTTGTTTGCCTCATAAACTATCAAACTACCACGAATTCAAATACAAAACCTTCAACATTTTTTTCTATTTCTGACCAAAATAAATTTTTTAATATTATTTAATTATTTCAGAAGTTTTAATGCAATTATCTTGATGAATAACAAAATTCTTCACAAAGATTCAATTATTTTTAGAAATTTTAAAAAAATATAATAATATTCATCAGAAGAATTCAATTATTTCAAAAGTAATAAAATTCTTCGAAGAAATTCAATTCTTTTTTGCAAATTTTAACGAATATCTCGTCAAGAATTAAATTATCTTTATAAATAGCAAAATCTTTCGCCAAAAATTCAATTATTTACAAAAATTTAAATAAAATTCTTTGCAAAATTTCAATTATTTTTAGAAGTTTTCCGTAATTGAATGATTTTCAATATTTACTATTTTCATAAAATTTATCAAAAAAATTTAATTATTGAAAAAAAATTTGTGGTACAATTATTCTACGAAGAAATCCAATTATTTTCATAAATAATAAAATTTCATTTAGGAATTCAATTATTTTCACGGCAGAATTTTAAATATTTTAAATAAAATATTAAATAAATCCCTCGAAAAATGCAATTATTCTTAAAAATTTTATTAAAACTTGACGAAAGAATTCAATTTTAAGAAATATTCAAATATTCAATAAAATAATATAATTCGTTGCAATGATTCAATTATTTTCATAAATAACTTTCAATTCGTCGCAGGAAATGATTTATTTTCAAAAATTATTAAGTAATTCTACAAAAGAATTCATTCATTTTGATAAACAACAAAATTCTCTCCATAAAATCAATTATTTTAAGGAATTTAAAAAAAAATTCTTTTCCAAAATTCAATTATTTTCAAAAGTAATAAAATTCTTCAAATAAATTAAATTATTTTTTGTAAATTTTAACGAACATCTCGACAAGAATTGAATTATCTTTATAAATAGCAAAATTTTTCGTCAAAGATTCAATTATTTTCAAAAATTTTAATAAACTTCTTTGCAAAATGATTTTTAATATTTACTATTTGCATAAAATTTTAAAAAAAATTTAATTGTTAAAAAAAATGTTTGATACAATTCTACGAAAACATTAAATTATTTTCATAAATAATAAAATTTAAATTAGGAATTCAATTATTTTCACGGCAGAATTTTTAATATTTTTAATACAATTTTAAATAAATTTCTCGCAAAAATGCAATTATTTTCAAAAATTTTATTAAAACTTGACGAAAGAATTCAAATTTAAGAAACATTCAATTATTCAATAAAATAATATAATTCGTTGCAATGATTGAATTATTTTCATA